CGGATTTTCCTGCGGCGATATTTTCGGCAGATCTTGCGTTTTGTCGACATTTGCGTGTTGGTTGATCGTTTGCTGAACCAGTGGACTTGAATTTATCCACCACATTGTAATTAGTTCTCTCGAGAGGACAATTACGGCGACCGTAAAATGGACTGAGTACGCGGTACGTTGTCCGAACAGAACACCCACTTTTAGAAAATAATTTTATTATTTGCTCGTGGTGTTGATTGCTACATTCGTCCATGGTGATTTGGGAAAAACAGACTGAATAAATGACAACTAATTTGACAGATGTATCTCCAACAAGATGGCCGTTATCAGCTGTCAAAGTTCGAAAATCTCTGTTGGAAGACGTAGGAGACGAAGCAAAGTTTAAACTCCATAACCATTAAAATGTTTTTATCGAAATTGTTTTGTAGATAACCTCGAAATGGTACCTACGTAAAATCATTTTTTCAACTGTTAGAACACCAGTTCGAAGTGAACATAAACACCCAGAAATTTTATTTTCTCATTTTCAGTAGTTACAGATTCGCTCGCCTCGAAACTGATAGTATCACATTTTTTATGACTATTGAATGAATATGAATATTGAAAATGAATATGAATATTCAAACGACAATATCTAAAATTTAGTATCTGGTTCGGCAAATTCGTTCATTTCTTTATAGGGCGTTCCAACGAAAACTTGACCCCTCCTGTAAATCAGAAACGGACGTGTAATCGAAAATTTCAAAGAACACGTCGATATTCATTTCTAGGGGGACTAATTTTCATATGGGAATCATATTCGAAACTTCACCCTCCTGCGGTCAGCAACTACCCCCCTTAATTTTCATCGATGGCATGGGGGTTGAGTGATACATCATTTGAAATATATTTTGTCCTTCTATTACTTCTGTAATTTTTTTCGGAATTGGTTTATTCGTTATTGAGTAATTGAATGTTGAACGTTTCATTCAAGAAAAAACAGAAAATTCGCTGTCGCTCATTTTATTGAAGAAATCAACAAAAGTAATATCAATGGCAACACAATCAACGTATAAAGTGTTCAAAATGACCCTCCTCTTGTTCCATACAATAATACAGTCTACTTTCGAAAGTGTTCCTTACATTACTGAAGATGTCCGGAATCAGAAATCGACATTCCCGAACAATTCTCTGTCGCAGGTCTTCTGTTTAACGTTTTGATGGCGCACGTTGTGGTCTGGATGATTCGTATTATAAATTCTTGCAGCAGCTTTAGCACATTCATTATTTCGATAATGGGTTGCAACAATTTCTATTCTTCATTCAGTAGAATAAACCATGTTGGAACACAGTGAACAAGGATGACTGAATAATAATTCGTGAAGAATAAGTGACAGTGACAGTGGTTCTGCGGCAACTAGATTCAACAAAAACACCAGTGCAAAAAAAAACTGACAGTGTCGTCCATTTCAAAACGTTTACTACTGATTAAATAAATTCTACAAATCTAGAAGACCTGCGACAGAGAATAGGGAATATGCATAAAAATAAAATGACCTGATTTTTTTTTTCTGAGCTTTTAAAGTCCTAGTATTACACTCAATTCGTTATTTTCTAATTTAATATGTATTTAATTATTTGAAACATGAATCAAAAAGTGAAAAATTTACGAGCGAAATTCAAATTTGTAAAATGGCCCACCATTGGTCGAAATGAAACGTGACGTCATACGGCATGTCCTGTCAGTCACCTGTGATTTATTTTCATACATTCAGGTTGTGTTGGAGAGAAAAATTGGTTGTATTGCTATTCTAGCTTAGTTTTCTAATATTTTAAAGTCAAGAAATACTAAGCGTCATCAACAGCAATGACGGACAACGGTTTTGTAAAAGCACAGTCGGATAATCTTCCAAAAATAGATGCATTCATGATGACCACATATTTTGCGTCAAACCCGGATTTGACATCTGCTGAGTAAAGGAGTAAGGGAGTAAAAGCTGCAAGGTAATTATTGTAAAACATGGTATTTTTAATCTAGTAAATCTGTTTTTATGCATACATGCACTTATAAAATTATTTCCCCCAATATAACCTCAAATGTTGTTTACATTCATTGTATGACATACGTAAATAAGGTTATGAACTATAAGGTTATGAAACTTTATCTGGTGTACTTTTTGTAGTGTTAGGACACATTGGTACCATGCAATATCTATAAAATGGATTTTTTTCTTCTTCCATGATTATTACGCGATATTCAAACTAAAACACCTTGTTAACTATCAAACTAACTCTCAATGTAAACAATAAACTGACAGGACGTGCCCTATGACCTCACGCCTCAAGTGCGCGAGAAATATGAGCGTTTGAACTTGTCAAATTAAACCAATATTTTTAAGATTTTATGAAAAAATGATTACTACTCTTACAGCTATGTTTATTTTTTTTCTATATCAAAATGAAGTGAATATTGAATAGAAAAAATTGTCTGCATATTCCCTATTGTTCGGGAATGTCATCTCCGACTCCGGACATCTCCAATAAGTAAACTGTATTATTGTATGGAACTAGGTGGACGTCATTTTGAACAATTTTTCTGTTGATTTTGTTTCCACTGATATTATTTGTTGTTGATTTCCTCATTAAAATGAACAACAATGAATTTTCTGTTTTTTCAATAAAACGTTCTACATTCAATTTCTCGAGGTATCACTCGACCCCCCGTGCCATCGAAAAAAATAGGGGTGGTAGTTGCTGAACGCAGGGGGGTGAAGTTTTTGGGTATGATTCCCATATGAGAAATTCCCATATATAGAAATAAAAATCGACGTGTAAACGTCCGTTTCTGACTTACAGGAGGGGTCGAGTTTTCTTTGGAACGCCCTGTATATTGTTGTCCAGAAGTGAGATTATGAATACGAAAAGTTTATATATGAGAAGGGACTGAATGATGCCATGCAGGGCATAGGCAGAGAACGAAAGCGTCTCTGGAAGTTTCGATATTTCTCAAGAAATTTTAATAATCCAGATAATCCAGAAATAATAATCGTTATTAGCAATTGTTGTATTATTCGCCATTTATTGTGATATTCTGAGTTTCTTTATGATTGTATGTTAGATCAGAAACGATTCGTTTTTCAATAATATTAAAAAACATTCGCACCTATTCTGTAAAATCATTTAGACTAATAGACGAAACAAACAAAAAATAATAAGATAGCATATAACGTGCCGATCAAAGTTCAACCTCGCACTAAAATTATCACAGAGTTTGTTTCTGCATAACAACTTAATTAAAACATAAATTATTCCGCTCATTGAGAAAAACAATATTTTGAAAATGAAAACTAGTGATGTTTGCGAATTAAGAGGGTTTGGTTACATATGAGGTAGTTGAAACATCTGAAGAAACTGGTAAACCACAATTTTGAGCAAATAAATTAACATGAAGACGAAAATGAATAGCTTATAAAACCGATCAAATTAACAAAACAACAAAAAATTTTTGTTTCGGTAGATGGTGTCTTGAACTTCAGAAAATAATTTTTGACGAGTCAAACACTACATTTTTTCCACGGCCAAACGGCATTACTCGAAATCAAAACAAAACGACAATACGTACAAATGGGAAAATTAGGATTCAGGAGGAAAAAGTAACCAAAGAAGTCTAAGAATTATTGTCTATCACCGTATTGAATTCTAAGGTGACCAGATTGAACAAATGATATAAAGAGCAACTCACTAAAATGTTGAAATCAAAAGTAAATTGTTGTAGTTAATTTTTTTTTAATGAAATTCAAAATATAACGGTGGGTTCAATTTTTCATCAAAGACTTTTTCAAATTTGGCAAGCAAAGTCTCATTTATTATTTTGAAAACCACTGGTTAATTTCGTAACCTCAAAATTTGAAATCAAACAATCAGTATGAACGAATTAAGTGTTTTTTTCTATAATGTTATCCGTATTTGCTACTGAACAGCCGATATGGCAAGTGTCTTACGGCGAAACATTGGATGTCTAGCAGTGAGGATGACAGTGTAAGTGAAATTTTACTTCTTTCATTATATTGTGTAGGAATCCTGTGAATGATATCTGATTCTATTCCTTACGAATGTTTGGAATACAAACGGAATAAAGAAAAGTACTTTTCGTATAATTCATCGTTCATATAAAAGTATTTGTTTCAAAAGCATTTTTATTTCGTGAAATTCAATGTTCATATGAAAATAGCTGTTTCGAGAGGACTTTTTCTTCTAGTTTGTGTCTGAAAGTTACTTCTTCGCATGATCTACACATCTTTGTATAGAGTTAATTTTTAAAATCGAATGTTTTTTTTTCTTTCTTTGAAAGATTCCCACACTTTTTTGCATCAAGATGGAGAAGTAGAAAGTCAAACACTATTGGAAATTCAAATGTTACTGTCCTTTTTATTATGAATAAAGTGAAAGGCCGATTATTATTTGTATGCTGTATATTTTTCAATAGTGTCAAAGGTTGATTGTTAGTAATTTTTCAAAAATGTATACGAACTACAAATATATTTTTTTGATAGCGCAACTATTCTCGGATAAACGAATATCTGCGTTCTGAATTATAACATCGTGTTTCTTATTTATATAAGTTGACCTATATTCATATTCACGTTATAGTCTGTGAAACAAAAGGTATATGGATGAAATCGTGATGTATTGAAATGATTAAAAAAAAATGGAAAATACAAAGATATATTTATATATCACTAAAGCTAAAAACAAGAACCGAAAAAAAAATTAAAATAAGTATGGAATAATAAATGTTGAAATATTTGTGCTCATAACTGTGTCAGTTGAAAAAAGTTCAAAAGAAGTTTTTCGTTGATGAATAAAAACATAAAAACACCTTGATTTGAAAAAAATGTGGATAATATATGAGAAATAAAATAAAATTACTGACATTAAAATAAAGAAGGAAAAAATAATTTTGGTCGCATTCAAAATTTTGTTGCGCGGTAATTTTGAATTTCAAAAATACATTAAAAAATTGCATGTACCTTTATTTTCCTTGCGCATTCGATGTAACGAACGAAAACACTAAACAATAACTAAGATCAGTATCAACAGTTTCGTTGTTGTATCTCAACTTTTTAGAGTGATAATAAGATTTGTTATGTTGTAAATGACTGACTATATAGACACAGTGTGGAGTTTAATCAGAGATCAAAGTCCAAATTTCTTCCACGTTCCTTTGAAATCTATAAATTCGATTACGACACGCTGGAGTAGTGTCAATATTCTCAACATTATCTCAAAGTATAGATGGTTTACGGGTGAATTTATTATATCCACTCTCTCCAACTGTATCTTTACTGAACCTGACCTGAATATTTAAAAATACGACTATGTTGTGCTTGTGTATGGTGACGTAGGAACACACCTCCAAATCTAATATATGCGCTTTCACTGGATAGGACTTATACCTCCTTTGAAAGTGCATCAAAGGAAAAAATTGTAATTGATTTGATGTTGTCGTTATGGACTATATGGACTATACTCAAGCTGATCAAAATTAGAAAATATGGAGAATATCAAAACCACAGTATTATATGATTTCAATGGTTAACCATAGGTTTCGTCATCATCCCGTTAAAAATTGTACCTTGTACTTGCTCTTCATTCCCAAATATCACAATTTGAGATCTCTAATGAAAAGTTAAGTGCCAATCCTTAATGTATCCACCCATTTAAGTAACCGGTAATAAAAAATAGTTTTTGTTTATCGATTTCGAAAGATTCTCAGGTTAAATTTTTGTACTTTATTTTCTGTATGTACCTGAAATGTGGCAGTTCATGTCGAAATCGTGGATATTCTATAAAAGGTAAGAAATAATATTTTTTATAAATTCTACCACTCCATCTTTATACAAGAAAATGTGGGAGTCTTCCAAAGAAAGGAACAAAGTAAATAATTTCATGTAGATAATGCAAAGAAGTAACTTTCAGACACAAAACTGGAATATTACTGGAGTTTTTTCCCAACACCAAATCGTTATTTTTACACCTCGACACGTGTTTCGATCACCAAGTGATCATTTTCAAGAGGAAGATAAAAACTTCCACCAAGTGTAAAAATAACGATTTGGTGTTGGGAATAAACTCCAGTAATATTCATTACTACACCAAAGGTTCCAAACAGTACATCATAAGTACAAAACTGAAAAAAAAACCTCTTGAAATAACTACTTTCATATAAACATTGAATTGTTGTTGAATCTGATCATTAACAGGATTGCTACATATGTTTATGAAAGAGATGAAATTCCACTTACATGGAACACTTTCATTCTCAATGGTGGACATCTATGTTTCGGAATAAGACACTTGCCTTTTGCCTGGTCAGCACCAATCTGGACAATAATACAAAATGAAGCACTCAATTCATTCATAAAATTACGAATTCGTGTCACGAATGACTTCAATCTACTCATGTAATCGATGACAGTACGTAATGACATTCATTCGCTTATTTTATTCAATCACAGCTATTGAAATCTTGTTCAAATTGAAAGGGAGTTATTTTTACAGAGAGAATCATTTTTGGGAAAGAAAAGTATTGGTTTTTACTTATAGTCAGTGGGCATACTTGAAGACTGGCTATAAATCAAATCATCTAAAGGAGCAATTCGTTCATACCAGTCTCAACTCCCTACGCTGTGGGTTAATGGACTGACACTTATCAGAAAACTACTCCCCTGGCTAATACCACGAAAGGCGTTGGATCATATCCGACAGGTGTCAGTGTAGGATTCTTCACTGAAGTTATTCCTGCATATGCTGTTGGCGATACAACTGCCTCAATATATTTTCATTCATTGGAACACACTTGCAGACCGGTTTCGGGCTGTTTGGCCACTCGTCAGTGCAAGGTAGTGTCTATCATCAACATTTAAGTCGATGATTTCCGATAATTGAAAATCAAATTCCTTCAGAGTATCATTCCTCGAACAAGGCTGAAGCGGGTAACAAACAACAGGTTTGTCATCGCCCCATCTGCCTGTGGTTGGTTATTCCATTACCAACCTCATATCCGAAATATGCTCAATTTCTCGCATAAGGAAAGAAAACTTTTCACATATACTCAGTGGCATACTTGACGAATGGCTATAAATCAAATCATCTGAAGAAACAATTCATTCCGGCCAATCTCAACTCCCTACACTGTAGGTTAATGTACTGATACCTATCAGAAAACAACTAATCCCCCGGCTAATACCACGATGAGCTTTGGATTATATCCGACAGGTGTCAGTGCAGGATTCTTCACTGAAGTTATTCCTGCATATGCTGTTGTATATGCCAAACGCATATGCAGGAATAACTTCAGTGAAGAACCCTGCACTGACACCTGTAGAATGTAATCCAACGGCCTTCGTGGTATGAGCCAGGGGAGTAGTTGTTTTCTGACAGGTGTCAGTCCATCAACCTATAGTGTAGTTAGTGTAGAGAGTTGAGACTGGCCTGAAAGTATTGCTCTTTTAGATGATTTGAACAGTTTTGGTTTTCTCTCTTCCAAACTATTTCTTTATTTCAAATCTTTTTTTTGTATTCTTCTGATAATAACTTTTGGACACGAGCCACATGTTAATTTGTAGATACCTGATTTGTTGTTCTCATCAATGATTTTTCATATACCTACCTACCCAAAGTGTTACCAGTCTTGTAAGCTATGTTAATGTTCTTTTTATTTTTATTTTTATTTATTATTTATTCAGATAACTCAAAGCACCTACAAAATACTCACATATACCAAAAACTCTTTATTTAAATTAATTAATTTCTTCCTTCCCTCGGAACTTCGCACGATTTCTGTCCTGATGATGGAGGAGAAGAAATCCAAACAGCTTGTTTTTCAACCAACAATAAGTTCCTCACTCAGGCTAACTGAATTAGTTTTCATAAACTAACCGTCATCAACCACTTATTGTTTTTTAAATTTACCTGTTAATCATTTATTGACCAATTGTTGTATGGAATTTATTGTTTCGTAAAATCTCATTCTTTACCAATAATTAATCACCAATAACGAATTGAATTTTGTAATTTATTTAAAATGCATTTTAAAATAATTACCTAATGGTACCAGTTCACCTGAAGGAGGTACCGTGCAGTTTTGGATAATAATAATGTAATAATAATCTTCATTCAATCCTTACAGATGACATACAGCATGATATGAGATACGTCACAATAAAAACCATGTGACAGTAGACTAATTAACAATCAACAATATTAAAATATCAGTATTCAATAAATTCGTACACCGATACATACGGAAGGAGGCGCGAGCATTGTCAACCAACGACCACTTCCCACACCGTGGGGTAAGTGATCATTGGGTCCGAGAATCATGTGATCTGAGAAAGCGCAGTGAACCAAGAATGACAGCCTTCTGAATCTGTCCAGCTAAGATTTCTGCCTTAGTGCGGGAAGCCGGTATGATTTTAAGATTCAAGAGTGGAGAGGGCAGTATTCCACCAAGGACTCCAATAATCAGAACAACCATCTTGACAGAGTGATTTGGATAGAGTCTGCGGAGTTCGAAAAAGAAAATCTCCTCTTTTCGAACGATATTCGTCTCGCCAGGAGTTGAAAACTCCACGACAAATGTCATCTGGCTCTGGTGATCGAGAAGGACTACATCAGGCTTATTAGCTTGTATGAGCCTGAGGGTGGAGATCGAATAATTCCAATAAATTCTGATTTTCTCGTTTCCCATAACGGATTCAATATCCCCCGAAGCGTAGGGCAACACCGGTGTCTCGTTAATATCGTAAGATGCCGTAGATGGTAATATAGCACTCTTAGGGCCGCGTTATGTCGATGGATATAGGCCGAGACCGCATATGCTGGACATGCTGATAGCAAGTGCATTAGGGTCTCGGATGCCTCACGACAGGCCCTATACCTTGTGTCAGGAACCTCTATACCCATAATGCGACTGCGATAGACTAAGGTGTTGTAGACACCATCCTGACAAGCTACGATGAACCCCTCAGTTTCCGACTTCAGCCCACTCTGAGGAAAGCGAAAGTCATGCGCTTTGATAAGCCAAGGTCTTCAATGTCGTTTAAGAAGACCCTATGCATTGGCTTATCCTTGTGTTTCCGCAGAAGTGAGGTGATCTCTGCGGCTTTTATATGAGCTTTTTGCTGAACGGGTTTCAACTCGATGACAGAGTTGTGATCACCTCGTTCAGTATCGAAAACTAAACCGAGTTTATCAGCTGCTTGGGCAGCTGTCCTAAAGAGAAATGCTCCAATCCCTGATCTCTCATAGTAGCGGACCATGCAGAGAAGGGGATCCGAACTCCTGACGACTTTACAGGCTACATCCAGTACCATTTTGTCATGTAGACACTCCTAACTAAAAAGTCCATGGCCTCCCTGTTGTCGGAGGAAGTGGAACGGACGATTTGGGATGCAAACTTCTATAGAGATGAATCATTTTTCGGGTCTTTACATCGAGTTGATACAGTTCCTCCCGAGCCCACTTCACTACTACAAACGAGTAGAGTAAGATTGGAACGGAAAGCATATTTGTTGCAGAAACTGTGTTCTTCCCTGACAGTTCCGATGACCAAATCTGTCGAAGTTTATGCTGATACTTGCCGCGGAGAGAGTTCTTCACTGATGTTACTTCTTGGGAGTAGCTTGTTCCACCCCGAGGTAAGTAGAAGCTCTCCGGCATCCAGATGGTGAAGGATGCTTCCATCTACGAGCTGCACATTCTCTCCGTAGTCCCCGCATCGTTCTCTTTTGGAATGGACCATTGCACATTTGTCTATCCCGAACAGGATTAAGATAATAATATTAAAGTATGAAAATTAATAACAACATATCGTCGGCCTAATTGTAAAACCATGTAACTCCACGAAAATCAGTTTCGAGTTTATTATGCCAAATTGTTGTAGAAAATGCTCTACACCAATGATATAAACCTCGTACCTCCAAAAAATTCGTTAAATTTAATAAAAAGGAATTTACAAAATGATATAATGGAGTCCTCGACAGATCGTACTGATTCTGTTATTGCTAGCCAAGTATTTATTGTGCAGGCTGATGGATCTCTTGTAGAGATATCTAACGCAGTGACTAGTACTGATACTACCACTGTTATTGCTATAGATTCACTTCCA